ATGGGGGCGGGCGCCAAAAAATTTTTGATCCTTTTTTATAAAACATTCTCAAACGGAAAACAAGTGTTTAAGGCCAAAAATTGAAGTTTTTTTTTTCACTAAATTTGGGGTGAAAAGGGGGGGTGAAAACCAACCCGGCTTTTTATATAAAAGAAAAATTTTTTGGGTATTTTTTCAATTTTTTTTTTTGTTTTTCACCCCAAAAATGTATTATTAGGTTATTGGTTTAATTTTTACAGAAATAAAAGAAATTAAATTTGTTCTATTTTGGGCCCTTTTTTTTTTTTTCCCTTTGTTTATTTGAAAATGCGCATTTTCCTTTTATCTTCCCCCATATTATCCCTTATTAAAAAACTTTGGGAACAATCATTGGTCATAAAACGTTTAGAATTTTTTTTATGGGAATCAGTTCTGTGTTTAATTATTATTACAAGTGCACGCTTTTGTGAACAAAAATTTTTTAAAATAAATAAAACCCAAAAAACCGGGTACTTATTAAAAATAGCAAAATTCAGAACCCCTTTAAAAGAAACCCCTTTTTAGACAAAAAAAAAAAAATTTTTGCAGCTCAGTTTGTTTGAGTCTGTTTTGGGAAAAAGGGTTTTTGGTAAGTGCAAAGCAAACCCGCCCCCCGCATCGTAAAGCAAAATTTCAACATTAAAACTTGAAAAAAAGGGGAAACATTTTTTTTTAAAAAAACGTCCGAAAAAGGGTTTTAATTTAGGGGCGGTATAAAGGGGGCCCTTTCATTATGGAATTGTTGAGTTTTTAAAATTTTTTAACAATTTTTTTTGGTTATTTTTGATTTGTTATCGAGTCCATTTTTTTAAAAAAAATCAAATGCACAATTTTTTTTAAGTTTTAAAAGGGACCTTGAAAAACAGGTTTTTTTAGTACAGATAGCCCCAAACGTCAAAAAAAAAGCGAAATAAAATTTTTTAGGGGAAAGCCGGGAAACAAAAACAAAATTTCGAAATTTTTTTTTCTAAAAGGGAAATAAAAAACCCCAGAATTACCCCCCGTTTTTCTTTTAACCAAAGCTGCCAAATTTCATTGAAAATTTTCCCGCATTCTGGCTGAAAAAGGGGATAAAACCCCCCCAAATTCAGATTTTTAAAAAGGGGAAAAATCCCCAAAAAAATTTTTTTTTTATGTTTTTTTTGGGCCAAAAAATTTTGATTGCAAATTTTAAAAAACATTAAAAAATTTATTCCGGTTTTTTAAACACAAAAATTTTTGCCAATTTAATCTCGGTTTTATTTAATTAAAACGGAAAAGGACGGGATTAAGCAAAATCCGTAATTACGTAATAGCAAAAACCCAACAAAATTTAAAAATTTGGAAAAGGTTTTAACATTTAAGTTTATAGCCCATTTTTTGTCTTTAAAAAAGTTAATTTTTTAAAAAGAAAAAAATTGTTCATTTTCTTTAGTTTATTTTTTTTTTTAAAAGGGTTTGTTTAAATTTTTATTTGGCATTTTTAAAAACAAATTAAAAAAGACTTAAAAGTTTTAATTTTTTTCCCTGCAACCCAATATTTTGGGCTGTTTGGAAAATTTTTCTTTTTACCTTTACCCCGATTTTTAAAAACCCTTTTTTGACCCCCCCTTTCCCAAAAAAAAAAGCTAAACTTAAAGTTTGGGGATCCCAAAAAAATTTGGGAAAACCCGGATTTAGGGGTTTGTAAAAATTTCAAACAAAAACTTTGGTTTGGGCCCGTCCTTGATGCATTGCTTTCATTTTGGGGAATTTTAAAAATTTTCCCAATATATCGGGATGAAAATACATATTTCACCCTTGAAAAACTTTTTGATATGGGCGTGAAAGTTTTGAAAATTACATTTTTACTGTATATTTTTTTGTTTGTGATGTTTCCGATTGTCGCAAGCCCGCCGATTTTTCATTTTTACTTTTTATTTTTAAAAAAAATTTAAAAAAATTTCCGTCAAAAATGTTTAAAAGTTTTTAAAAGGAAAATTTAAATTCTAAAGGGTTTAATTTTTTTTTTGGGAAACCCCCCTCACCGAAGAAAAAAAATCATCTCAGAGACAATTTGGAGTTGAACAGGATCAATAAGAGATTTAAACAATAGTAATATAATGTAATGTGAATGGTATTATTTGTCATCCATTAAAAAATAAAATCTATTTCGTAAAATTATGACTATATAAAGTTAAAACTGTGTTGAAAAGTGCTAAATGGAGTTCGTGTTACTAAATATAATCAAGTGCGTTGGTTAGAAGAAATGTTTCTTCTCTATTTCTTTTTAACGCGACTTTATTCGAAAAGTTATCGATTATGTCACATCCCACTGAACCGATGATCTATTGGGACAAATTTCATCTGATTTCCATCACTATTTATGATATAATGAAAAATACCTTAAGTAAAAAGTAAAAATCCTTAAGTAATAAGTAAATAGTTGAAAGATCAAAACTTGAAAACAAGTTATAATAACAAGTTGGAGAGTTTATTGTTTTGTTATTGTAATAGTTTTATATTATATTCATAATTATGCTGTGAACAAATGACCAAGTTTTTTATATAGATAATGTCTCTGACAGTGAAAGTCAGTATTGTGATAAGTATTGCATTGCAACATAAAAATACAAGTTTATCTATGTTTCTTGTTTTCTTCAAAATTTGGTGTGATTGTTCATTCAGTCCAGTAATCTTGGAACAAGTACTGGTCCGGATCTGCCTTCCCTGGACCAAATAAAATCCAGGAAAATGAAAAAATACAATTCATTTTGGTATATGAGATATATGACCTATGCCTGCTTATATGATAAAATTAATTGATCATGATTATTAGAATATTACAGAAATTTTTACAACTTTCAATAAACTAATAATACTTATAAAACATGCTGTGGTATTTCTCTTATTGTTGTCAACCAGTACTACATGTAAATTTGTTATCTAGACCAATGAAAGTCATAGTTTTCAAAACCCTTTGAAGATTTTTTCCAAAAAAAGTTTAAAAAAAAAAAGGGTTCTGAAAAACTTTTTTCCAAAGCTTTGCCCCCTTTCAAAAATGACGAAAACTAAAACTAAAATTTGGTTGCAAAAAACAAATTTGGTTTTTTTGCATTTGGAAATTTAAACTTTTTCCCATATGAGCCTTTCCCACCCTAATAGACATTATAAATAAATTTAATTTCCCCTGTGTTTTTTTAATTGCTAAATAAAAAACAATATTCTTGTTTTAAATTTAAATTTGAGGGAAAAGCTTTAAAAATTGTTTTTTTGTCATAAACTAAGTTGAACTTTAAAAATCTTTTTATTTTTTAGGACAGTGGGAACAAAAAATTTGGCCCCCAAAAAGAAAAATTCAAATTTAAAAATTTAACTTGTAAAGAATAAAAAAATTTTAAATTTTATTTGTTTTTTTTTTCCAAAATTTAATCAGATGTGAAAAACCCATGTTTTTTTTCTAATTTCTGTATCAATTTTTTAAAAAAGAATTTTAAATTTTTTAGCAGGTAACCATCTTATATTTAACAAACAAGGGGAAATTTTAATATGCCAACAATTGGTAAATTTATCATCTGTTAATATCCAATTTCCAATGTTGATTTTTTATAATACCCAAAAAAATATTAAAATTTAAATTTCAATAAACTGCTTTAAAGAAATGGGTTTAAAAAGTTTTTTTCCTAACATGTAGGAAAATTCCCCCCGGCCCCCCCCCCTTCCCCAAAAATAGGGGTTTTGGCCCCCCCAAAAATATGGTCGGGGTTTCGGGGGTTAGGGGTCCCCCCTTTGTCAGTAATTCGTTAATGCTAAAAATTTAGGTTGTTTTTTTTTCCCTTTAATTTTCGCCGAGGAAGTCATTTTTTTTCCATTTAAATTTTTCCCCCCGGGGAGGGAAGGCCCTGTTTTCATATTTTTTAATTTTTAAAATTTAATTGATGGAAAAAAGGAAATTTTTAACGGGTTACATTTGTGAATGCTTTTTAGGGAACCCCTTACTGGTAATTGGGAGGCCACAACTTGCATTCCATGTTTATAGGGGGAAAGAAAGCCCGGGGCCCGGGGAAGCGGGCCCGGGTTTGTCTTCCCCGGCTATAGACATTACGTGATTTTTAAAAAAAAAATAAAATTTTAAAAAAAAATTTTAAAATAATAAAGAATTTTAAAACCTATTAAAATAAAATTTTTCAGGGGTTCAGTTTTTAAGCCCGGGGGCCCCTTTAAAAAATGTAACTTCAATTTAAATGGGGGGGTATTCTAAAGGGAAAAAAATCTCAACTTTTGGGAAATTAAATAATAAACGCCCCGAGTTTTCCCGGATTTAAAAAGGGAAAGCGGTGCTTTAAATACCAAATTGAAAAATTTTAAAAAAAGAAAAGAATGAAAGGTTTTTTTAAAAACTTCCATTCATGGCTTTCCCTTTAAATTTCTTTTTCTATTTTTCCCAATGGTATATAGTTTTAAATAAAATAAGGACAGTTTTTCCCTTTTGAGCGTCTTTTGGTATTTTTTTCAAAAATTTGTCTAAATTTTGGTCGGGTTTAATGGACAAATTTTTTAATTTTTTGGTATATTTTGGTTTAAATTTTGAGGTCAAAAAAACTGGTTAATTCGGGTCTAAAAAATTTTGGGAACGAAAAAATTTGGGTTTAAAAATTTTTTCCCTTTCTTTTTTCACCAAAAAACCCTTTTGGAAAATTATAAAATTTTCCTAATAAAATTGGGTTTTAAAAAAATTTATTCATCAAAATTATTGTTTTTCAGAAACTTTACTGATTTAAAAATTTGCTTAAAAAATGGGTTTTCCCCTTTCCATTTAAAAACATTTTAAAATTTAATTCCCTAATGGGGAATTCCCCCAGTTTTTCAAAAATCTATTTTCTTTTTTTAATTTTGTTAACTTTTTTTTAATTTTTGTTTTTTGGCACTTATTTTATTTTCTTTTTTCATAAAAGAAATTTCATTACGTTTAAATTTTTAAAATATTTTAACAAAAACGGCTAAAAATTTTTAAAAGTTATTACATCAATTTCTTCAAATTTTAAAAAAATTTCTTCCTGGACTAACCTCCGCCAATATTTTTTTTCTTTTAACGGCGAAATGCGCGTTCCCCCCAAAGGGGCCTTACAACACTAAATTTTTGGGTCCTTAAAATTTCCCAGAAAAATGTATTTTTTTCCCCTTATGGCTTTTTATAGTTTTTTTTAATTTTCTAAATATTGCGGAAAAAATAGCTTTTGAAAACTTGGATTTTAAAAAATTTAATAGTTTTGTTTTTATTGTTTTTCTTTTTTAAACTAAAAAAACCAATGGAAAAAAGGGTTTTATAATGTTTTCAAAAAAAAATTAATATGGGCTTTTCCCGGGTAAAGTTTTCTTAATGAAATTTAAAATTTAAGAAATGATAATGGCCTAGCATTTTGTTTTTTTTAAAAAAATTAAACAAAAATATATGTTATTTGTTAAAAAATAAATCTAATAAAAATGGGGATACATTTGTTTGCCCCGGTTTTCCGGTCCCGTTTTTAAAAGGGTTGGGGGCTGCTTACAAAGAAAACAAAAATTTTGGTTTTAAAAAAATTTTAACCCTTGCAAAGCAAATTGATAGGTTTTCGACTTCAAGCCTAAAAAGTATTGGGGAAATATTTTTTATTTTTTTTTAGTAAAAAATTTAAACTGCTTGTTTTTGAATCTGGTTGGTTTCACCAGTTCCGAAGCAATTTTTTTTTGTGACAAAAAACGTTAAAAATGCCATTAATTTTTCCCCTTACGAAAAATTTGACTATTTTTGCGAGCAAATTTACTAAAACTAAGTCAGTTAAAACTACAAATTCCATTTTGATTTATTTTTTTTAATATTCATTCGGATTTTAACGGGTTTTTGGGTATTGTAAAATTTTAAAGCACCCCCTTGTTGGTTTGGGGATGAAGCAGAATTTCCCAAATTTGGCATTGCATCCCTTTTTGTTTTTGTCAATTATTTTTTGGTAAGTTCTGTTTAAAAAATAGGGATCTTTATCCCAATGGCCCAAGATGAAAAAAATTTTTTTGTTTTGCAAATATGCTTAACAACACTTATTTTTAGGTTTCCCCTTACTGGTTAAAAACTTTTTATAGATAAATTTATGTTTTTTTTTTTATCCATATTGACAAAAAATTTTTTTAAGGGAATTTAAAATTTTGTCAACATTTACAATGTAGATATTCCCTGTCCTTTTTTGTTTTCTTTATCCCGCATTTTTTTTCATTATTTTAGTTTTTCAGTTATATTTATTTACCCCTATAGTACAAATACTTTTTTTTTAAAAAATAAAAATTGTAGGGGATTTTTAAGGGAAAGACCCTTTTCCCACTATTTTTTACAAAATTTTGGGGTACCCGTAAGCACAAAATTTTTTTTAAAAAAAAATTATAATTTTTCCTTTTAAAAACGTTTTTACCTCAAAAAAAAAATGTTGGCAAACTTTCTAACATATATCATTCAATATTTCTAAAATTAAAAAACTTTTTTTTTGGGTTTAGAAAAAAGCAAAAAAGTTTTCTTTGGACAGTTTTGATTTAAAAAATTCCCCCCTCATCCCAAAAAAACATTGGGACGTGGTTTTTGGAAAAAATGGTCAAAAAAGGTCTCCCGGGGTTAAACGGGTATGGGAAATTCTTTTTTTTTTAAAATTTTTTGAAAATATTTTTTGGGGGGTTTAAATTTTATGGCCCAAAAAAAAAACCTTTTTTTCCCTCGATATTAAAAATGTGTCCCTTTCTTTCAGTTTACATTATACATTACCCATAAAAAAAAGCCGATATGGATTTTCATCCCCTTTTTGCCTTTATGTTGAAATTTAATTTATCGCCCCCAAAAAATATTAGAAGCCTTTTAAAAAAAGGGAAAAATGACTAAAAAAATTTATTTTTTTTAATGTTTAATTTAAAAAAAAAACTATTTATTGTGGGGGGTTTCAAAGGGAAAGGGGTCGGGTTGATTGTTTTGGGGAAATGGTCAATGCGCCGGACCGGTCTTGGAAACAACTGTAAATTTCAAAAATTAACCCATTATACACCGTAAATTTATGGGCATTTTGTGAAAAAATTTGCTTTTTCATTTTAAAAGGGGGCCTTTTTTTTAAAAAAACCCAAAATTGCTATTTAAAATAAACCCCAAAAAGTTTCCAAAACTCAATTTTTCTGACAAAAATTGGCACCCAAATTTACCATCATAGCCTTTTTTAACGGGTTACTAATCTTGAAATTTTCCCGTTTTCCCCAAAGGGAACGATGGGGGGCATTTTTCCCAAAAATTTCCCAAATTTATTTCGAAAAATGCTGCATAATAATTTAAATTTTAAAAATTAAAAAAAAAAATTTAAAAATTTTATATCATGAAGGGGAAATTTTCCCCAAAAAATATTTAATGGATTTTAAAAAAAAATTTAAAGGCCTTTTTTAAATTTTATTTCACATTACCTTTAAAATTTGGGCCCCCAGAAATTTTTAAACCCCTTACAAGTCCAAAAAATTTTTTTTAATGGGGGGCCGGGCCCCCGAAAAAATTTTTATCACTTTTTTTTTAAAAAATTCTCAAAAGGAAAACAAGTGTTTTTAAAGGCCGAAAAAGAGATTTTTTTACGAAATGGGGGGTTTTAAAAGGGGTTTAAAAAAACCGGGGTATATGAGTTTTTTTTTGTGTATCCCAAATTTTTTGGGGTTTTAGGCCCCCAAATAGTATATATTTTAGCTTGTTTTTGGTAAAATTTTCCGAAATTTAAAAGTAATTATTTGTTCTTTTATTGCACATTTTTTTCTTTATTTCTGTAATGCGCATGTCCATTTTTCTTCCCGCCACTCATATATACACTTATTATTTCATGGAAAAAATCAGTGGTCTAAAACCCATTTGAACTATATATTTGAATCACGTGTCTGTGGGCAATTTTTATAATTTCAAGTGCACGCTCTGTGTAATTTTTAATAAATAAAAACCCCCAATACAAAATTTTTTAAATACGAAAAAAACAGATCCCTTTAAAAAAATTTCCCCAAAAAAAAAAAAATTAAAAAACTTGCGGGCCCCAAAATTTGATTGAGTCTGTTCATGGAAATTTCTTTGGGAAATTTCAAGCTACCCCCCACCCCCCTCTTTGCATCCTTAAACAAAAATCAACATTTAAACATGAAAAAAGGGGAACATTTTTTTTTTTTAAAAACGTCCGCAAAAGCTTTAAAGGCGGTATACCGGTTAACCCAGTTTAGCTTTCCCCTGAAAAGGGGTCGTTTTCCCCTTTAAAAAAAAACAATGCGTGTTTCCCCTAAAAAAAAAAAATGGGGGGGATTATGGGAATTTAAATTTGGGAAATTTTTAGGGAAAGAGGCTATGGGAATTTTAATTTTTTACACTTCCGGGACTACATATGGATCTCAGAATTTAGCTGTGGTAAATTTTGGTAAAAAATGGGGCTTTTTTAGGGGTAAGAAAGGGAAAAAAATTACTTATGGATGGAAAAAAACAGTTATTTTTGGTAAACTAAAATTAAAGTCTGGGGTTTATGGTTTTAAGAGGTAAAACTTACTAGTAAGGATGGAAAAAACAGTTATAATTTTTTTTGGTATTTAAATAAGGGGCTGGACTTTTTAGGGAATTAAAAAAAAAAATTCTATTTTTGGGTAGAATAAAAAGTTATTTTTGAAAAAGACAGCAAAAAGGGACAAAAATAAATTTGGGAAATTTTTTAAGGGCAGGGAAACTGTTTAAATTTGGGGGCTCCAAAAGGGAAAAAATATGACCCGGTTTTTTTTTTTTATTTTATAAATGGGTTTTCCCGAGGCAATATTCTTACATTTTTTAAAATTTTTTCGAATTAAAACACTTTAAAAAGTGGGTTTTTTATTCGGGGGGAAAATTTTTTTAAGTGCTATTTTAAGGAAATGACAAATATCTTCCAAAAAAAATTTAAAAAGCAAAACTTAAATAAAGGGGAAATTTTGGGCCCCCTTTTTATTTTAAAAAACTAAAAAACCCAAAAGTAATTTTTAAATAAACAGAAAAAATAGATTTAAAAAAAGGCTTTCTAGGAGCCTTGACGTATGGTTACTTTTTTTTCCCAATTTTGAATAAAAAAAATTTTTGGGGGCAACTTTTTAAATCACATGTTTTAGATCACATTTTAAAAAAATTGGGAAAATTTGGGCACCTTTATTTAAAAAAAAAAATGTAACAAGGGCCCTTTAAAAATGGGTCTCTTTTTTTCTTCTTTTTTTATGGAAAATCCCAAAGAAAATTTTTTTAACCCGAGATTTCATGTTTTTAAAAAAAAAAAACTCAATTTAAAGGGGTTTAAATAAAGGTCTGGGTTTTAAAATTTTTTCATCATTTTCCCGGGGTTTAGGTTTATAAAATCTTTTGTTTTTTTGGGCCCTTTCTTTGTGTAGATTCACATTTCTACCCCTTTGACACATTTAGACACACCCCGGAAAAAAAATATCCCCTGGTGGGAAAACCCCAAAAAAATTATAGAGGAAAATTAGGGGGTAGAACTGAAATTTTTTCCCCAAAATTAAAAAAAAAATAAATTTTTTAAATTTTTTTTTAAAAAAAAATTTTCCTTGTGAATGAAAATTTCGCCCTTTATTTTTATGTTTAAGTTCATTCTTGGGGTCAACCAAAAAATTAAAAAATTTTCTTTCCGATTTTTCCCAATTTTTTGATTATGGATTTTGTATTTTCAAAACTTTTTTTATAAATTTAAAATTCCCCTCAATTGATATTCCCCCCCTTGTCATTTAATCTTTATTTTCTTCTGATATTTTCATTTCACAAAACTTTATATTTTTCATTTTTATTTCCCGATATTTCATTCACATTCTTTATATTTTTTCTTGTCTTTTTATATCTTCATTCACTTTTTGGGTATTTTCCCTTTTATTTGTATCTTTTATTCACAAAACTGATATCTTTCCAAATTTTCATTTTTAAAAATGTTCCTTTTATAAATTCATTAAAAATTTACCCATTTTTATGTGAATGAATTTTTATGTAGATACACAATGTATGAATTGGGAAACGGAATTAAAGATGTTATGG